CCATTACTAATATTTTTTTTACATTTTCTGTGTAGTTATTAACTACTACACAGAAAATTTAAAAAAACATACACATATAAATAATAATAATAATAATAATAAATAAAAATACTACAACACAATTTATTGCCATTATTTTTTTGCAATGAAGCCTGCAAAGCATTGCGCATTGGGTAGAGGAGGGGTGTTGGAGGACATTGGTTGCTCACCTGTCTTGTGTTCCATAGGACCCCAGTTTGGGATTTCGGGTGCAGTAGTCCGGCGAGCTGTTCAGATACACCAGTTCGGATTCCCGCACGGGCCGGATGTCCAGCTCCTTGTGAACCAGATGCTTGCGACTTCCCATCTGTCGGTGCATTACTTTGGTTCCCGCCAAATACTTGGATTTCAGCTCGTCGGCAATATGTGGCAAATCCTGGAGCCCCTTCCAGCATGTCTTCACCGAGCACGAGCCGGACACGCCGTGACACTTGCACTTGGTCTCAAGGGAATCCATCAGCACCTACAGAAGAAGGGCACCCCATGAGTATGCAGCAACGCCAAAAGACAGAAAACCTGGTTCGTTACATACAGTATATTAATAAAAAGCAGTAACACTTCCTGTCCAAGGGTGACAACTCACTCACTCTGCACTATTGCGAAATAGTGTTGTCACCCTAGGCTACTCTCCCAATCTGAACTACAAACACCTCCTGTCTCAGTTACATGGGGGAGAGGGCATATTGTACTCTACAGACGATAGCTGGGAAAGGCAAATACATATTTGTGATTGCATTTGATAGGAATACTAAAATACTGGTGGGATCAACGGGGTTTTTTTTTTAATGTACATCCAGGGACCGACCAGCTGCGATCTGTGACATTTTACCTTCTTGGGTTTGGATGTACTAAACCTAAGCGAGGTCCATAAACGCATCACAATGACTTTTGTAAACACACCAACTTGAACGCTCCCCTCAGTGTACATAGCAGGTCACCACCCCCCCTTCCTCACCTGTCTGCCGACCGCGTTGTTGTGCAGGTTCATAAGTTTGGTGGCCTGGGTCCCAAATTTGCTGGACTTCATGGGGGCGTCCACGAAGGCCGATCCCATCTGGAGGCCGTAACGCAGGTTATCGCCACATCCGCCCCATCGAAAGCTGGGCCCGGGCACCTCAGCCGGCGCGGCGCCGCACGAGCACGTCGGCAGCTCCCCTGAGGCGCAGGCCCGGGCGATGGTGTGACTTATAGTCGCGGAAGCCAACGCGTACACAAAGGCAGATTCTCGGGTACCTGGGACAAAGAAAAAGAGGGAAGACGATTCAAGTTTCTGACCATTGAAATGATATAAAATGGGGAACAATGAGAAAACATTTGTAAGAAAGCCGTGTATGCCAAAAGCATCAGGTCCTGTAGGCATGAGCGATCCCTATGAGTGCCCCCACCCGGGGACAGGGCTCATCTCTGAACTATACAGTCAGTCCCCGAGTTACATACATCCAGGCCCGGAATCCCCACAAGGCCACAGAGGCCAGGCCTCGGGGGGCGGCAGCGGTGTTGAATCCCCCGAAACATAGTGCCGGGCAGTAAGTTGCCTTCTACATTTAGTCCTGCTTTGGGAGGGCGGGGCTAAATGTAGTGTGGGGAAGCCGCTTGTCCGTTTACAAGTGATCGGGGCGATGTCGCCGCAATCACTTGTAAAGTGTGTGCAGCCTGTCCGTCCTCCCCCGCACCTACCTCTCTCCTCTGGTTCCGTCCTCCCCCACACCTACCTCTCCTCGGGTTCCGTCCTCCCCCCGGCCGCCGAGTCACTCCTCACTGGCCGATGATGTGGGGAGCAGAGCGGCAGCGTTAAAACTAAGCCTGCCGCTCCGTGTATACAGTGACAGGGGAGAGCTGTGCTGTTCCCCTCTCACCTGTCACAGGAGTTCCAGCACAGTGCTGTGCTAGAACTTCTATATTGGAGGTGACGGGGTCAATAAAGAGAACCTGTCACCTCCAAAGGCTATCACACAGGGGCTTGCTAGCTAGCTCCTGTGTGATAGCAATAAAGTTAAGTGAACAGAAAAAAAAAATTTAAGATAAAATAAGTGATTAAAAAGAAAAAGAAAAAAGATAAGCTAATTTTTTTTTTTTTTAAAGCGAAAAAGTAAAAAAATAAAACTAAAGAAACTATAAAAATAAAACTAACCCTGCCGCCCCTGCCATCCAGTTGCCATTCATAGTACTGTACGTACATCACAGGAAGTTGGCTCTTGTTAGATGTGCAGACGAGGGGTGCCCGCCTCTTCTTCCGGGTCACTGAGGTTTTTACTGCTGGCTGTATCCTCATTAGAAAGATTTGATCTCACTTCCTATCCTTGAGACAACAGGAAGTGAAAGGAAATCTACCCCTAAGAAGGGCCATTCACTCCTGTAAGAGTAGTCATGGGGCAAAGGTGTCTCCAGTGCTTTATCACCAATCCTTGTTTCCACGACAACCCACAATTTTCAAAATCCAATTGTCACAGGGACAGAAAGTGAGGTGAAATCTTCTGCACGGGGGCGCACATAGCAACACAAACTTTACAGGGGCTTAACCCTTCCCTATGCTATCCAAAACTAAACATTTTTGGCTGGAGTTGCACTTAAGAAAATGTACCTGTTCCAACTTACATACAAAGTCAACTTAACAAACCTACAGTCCCCATCTTGTACGTAACCCGGGGACTGTCTGTATTCATAATCCCCCCTCCCCCCCGAGGAAAGACATCTTTCTATGTAACGAGATCCTATTTATGTTTTACCTTTCAGTAAGTCCGGGGTGAAGTGAGGAGCAAGTTCAATGGAGGAGCAATTCCATCGCATGTCAGAGAAGGTCATCTGGCAGGTGAGTCGCGTGTGTTTGGCGGCCGCAACCACGCTGTGCATGAGTTCCAGGTTCCTCCTGCAGAGCTGCATCTGATCCGGGACCAATCCTTCCAACAGACCGCAGTGTTCACTCTCATTCCACGCCACAGAGCTGCCATTAACGGTGAGACCCCTGAGAGATAGAGAGACAGACTCCCATTATTATACAGGATGTATATAGCGCCAACAGTTTGCGCAGCGCTGTACAATATAAGGAAGACATTGCAATCACAATACAATTCAAGACAAGATGGTAAGGAGGGCCCTGCCCCTGAGGGCTTACAGTCTAAAAGGATTGACCACTGACCATTGACTAATAGACCACTGAATAGCAACAATGTTGCACCGGCAGCAAATGCCGCTACCTAGTAGATGTGAAGAACACACCAAAAAAATAAAAAAAGTGAAGATAGATATTTTTTTTTTAAATTAGTAAAATAGAATA